ATTTAATTACTTCGCCAACCAGGGATTTTCTCTTCTTATCTCTTTCGTTTTTGAAATTCAGCAAATTTTCATATGTAATTTCCAGAATGAATAAGAAAATGTGGATGCGCAAACAACCGTAAGCTTTGAATATACCTCAAGTAAGCGTATTTGAGACAAGAAAAAAATGGAATTATCATCAATAGAGATTATTAGAACACAAATCCTCACTATGCACCTATGCACTGCCGTTTCCTTCCAGCTGTACTGTACAACTTACAGCTTGGATCTTCAATAATGCCATCCCTGAAGCATATGTTACATCACATCCGAGCCAAGCATTGATGGATGAAACATCATGACGTTTAGGCAACACGTACAGCTACACAACGAGTTCATAACAAGTGTACAACAAACAGCTAGTGCTAAGTTGACATCTTGTAGAAACAAGCTACGTTATCTCACAGAAAACCTATAGAATGTCAAGAAAAAAAAAACGATAAAAATGTCACTTTTTAAGATTCGTAATACCCGTGGGTGCGTAGTTTACAGTTAAATATGTTAAGCCGTATTGCTGCTAACAATAGCATTTTATCCCAGCAAAGATCTTGTTCACTTTTTATCTCCGGAGTGTATCTTACCCAGTACCTGACCGCAACGCGCGTTTCAAATTTGACTCTCACCATTAGGATCTCAGAAACAGTAAGAGATGCGAAGTCTGTTAAATGATAGCAAAGTTGCGCTCTTAGGTAACTGAAAAAATAACACCTAAAAAAGCTTAGCAATTTGAAGTAATTCCGTAGATGGAAGAAAAAAAAAACGAATCTCACGAATACGTTTTTATTTTTTCTAACCTTATTTGAGGTGGACTTCCGAATAAATTGCACATTAAGGTGGTATAATCAGAATTTCAGTAAAACATTTTGCTTTGAATAAGGCCAATTTTTTCTTAAGAATCAAAGCTGATTATTGAGAACAGGAAATGAATCATCATAATAATCATAATTATGCTACCGTTTAGAGGAGATAAAGTGGCTAAAGTAGAGCAATTTATTATGGATTTCCACCTCAAATAAGTCCAGAGAAAAAACGATTTGGGAAAATCGTCGTCTTTCATTTATCTTCGGCAATACTCTGAATTACGAAACTTTTTATGTGCCATTTTCTTATTTACTTAAATACGAAGCTTCACCACCTTCCAGCCGACTTCGTATCTCTCACCGTTTCCGAGATATTAATGGTAGGAGTCAAATATGAAGCACCCGGTATGCCCATTTAACAACCCAACGTCTTTGTTCTTTGGAATTGCATCTAGCAGGCATACAGTGAAACACCACTTGCCTGATATGACATTTTGCCCCAGACTGTACCTTCCTTCAAAGGTCACATGCCGTGTAAAGGGTTGTAAATGCCAGAATGATCATTTATTGCCTTTTAATAGTTACCAATTAAATGTTCGTCTGTAGGTCGACCAAGACTTTATTTTATGCCCGTATACGCCAACTGATGCATCCTTTTAATGGGGCTTTGAACATTCAGTCCTAAAATAGCGCATCCTTTGTAACCGTTCTTTTGTTTCATTTCAAAATAGAAATGCTGTAAGCTCATTATGCATAAAAATATACTAACAGTAGTCACACTTTTGAAAAAAACTTGTCTTTATTTTGCAGTACAGAGTAGTACATTACAAAAATCTTCATTCAATAAGTTATTTAGAATTTACTTAATAAATCCGAGTTTCTTTTTTTTTCTCAACAATTCCATACTTTCAACTGAGTTTCTGACTGACCATTTCAAGCGAGACAAGTAGCTAGATGATTATTTTTATCACAGATTTGTTGGGTGCAATCAAGCCACATCACAGAAAAATTAGTAACGACGCATCACAAATCGCAATGCCTCACATTTAGGCGCTGATTTGTATTTTCTATTAACATCGCAAAATAAATTTCTATAAAACTTAAATGAATGGAAATAAAAAGTAATATAATAACCTTTTCACTTTCATAAATATTCTTGTCTATAGCATATTTTCTCACCTGTTCCTTCACCGACTAGGGATTTTCTTTTCTTATCTCTCTCATTTTTGAAATACAGCAAATTTGTAATTTCCAGAATGGATAAGAAAAATTGGATGCGCAACTAATTTCTAGCTTTGAATCTCAATTGAGTGAATTTGAGACAAGAATCCAATGGAACTATCATCAACGCATATTATTAGCACACAAATCCTCACTATGAACCTATGTATTGCCGTTTCCTTCTAGTATACAACTTATAGCGTAGACCTCCAATAATGCCATGCCTCAAGTAGATTTTACATCACATCAGAGCCTCAGAACCAAACATTGATAACTGAAGCATCCTGACGTTTAGGCAACACCTACAATTACAAAACGAGTTCACAAGGTGTCCATCAGCTAGTGATAAGTTAACATCTTGTAAAAAAACCTACTTAATGTTACAAAAAACCAACACAATGTCAAAAAAATCGACACAATTTCACTTTTCAAGATACGTAGTACCCGTGCCGGTCGCAGGTAAATAATTTTCTTTCCGGCCAATATTCCTTAACTTGTTAAAGGTAATTTCACACTGCGGGACATAACCGGCCGCTAAGCACACTAGATTAGGGTGTCCCAAAAAAATGATAGTTCTTTTTTTTAAGCGCATACCTCTAATTTTGCTTGAACAACGACGAAATAATTGAAAATAAAGTTTTATGTACCTAGATTAAGGGCAACCCGTACTGTTTTCGTAACAAGGGAATATTTTTAAGAGAAGATGTAAAGCATCAAATTACCGGCTCAAAACTTCCCTCTAATGGACATCTACTAGCAGTTCTATAATATCTGAGAATTGAAATTAAGTATCAATGAGAGGGCCAACCTTACTATTCATGAATGCACTATTTACTGGGAAAATCTTGTTTGTCTCAAGAAACTAGTTACCTCATATCAAGGTTGGAGAGATTTGCAAAAAAATGCGAGCAAAACACAAGAAGTGTTTGAGCAACGTCGGCAAGAGTTTGTTACGAATTTGAACAATCTGTTTGATTTTGCCCATGCCGATGCCTGTCAGTTGATGAAAATAAATGAAGAAAGGATCCTGTTGCAGCAGCAGGAAGAGCCAGGTCGACCTGGTCATTTGGGTGGGGTGGACAAGAAATTAGCCATAAAAAAACACCGACGAACAAAAGCGGTGAGCGAAATGTGTTGTTTTCTGAACACCTACAACATCATTTTACGAACTGGTGTAAGTAGATTCATCTTCAGATTCCGAGATAGATTTACAACATTTACTTTGCCCATCCCAACTCAAACCACACAGCCTGATGCTAGTCAAACTCAAATGAGGAATAGTTTCATAACTCCAAAATTAGTGGCAGTATTAGATAGGTGTCAGTTAAGTGCGAGATATGCTGCTTTTATTATTTTAATAACCAAATTAATAAATTAGAAATTATCCAAAAATAATTTTTAAAAATAATCTTTGACAAATCACTCTTATAACCATCCGATCTGTTGTATTATGAAGCAAAACTATTAGACCCTAGGAAACATTTTTTTTATAAAATTAAAAATTATCAATTTCACCATAGAAATAATCTTAGTCCGTTAGATCACTTATATCAAACTAGAAACAAAATCAACAACATTTAGCAAACACCTTTTACCTCAAAAAGTATAGGCCAAAGATGTCATACTTACCTTTCCAGTAGACTATATAATAAATATATCACCAAATTATATAAGAAATATTTCAAATAAAACAAAATTCAAAATTAAACCAAAAAATTTATAATTGAAAAAAAGCGACATCAAATTGCAGACATGACACGTATGAAAGAAATTATGTGTATCTGCATCTATTTATGTGTTTATTTGTATGATTATATATGTATATATATATATATATATATATATGTATGTGTATATTTATGTAAAAATGTAAATTAATACCCACGCACAAGAATTTATTCTTCTGTGGGTAAATTCAGTTTATTTACGTATACCTATGTTAGTTTTAGTTATATTTGAATATTACGTGAATAAACTTATTATTATATTATTATTATTGAAGCAGCTATTAAAATAATTCATACAAGAAAACAAAATGGGCACACAGAAGCTATAAAGCTGGATTTGCAAAGCGAGGTACCGGATATCTACTGTAACTGTCCACTGGGATGGCAAATTGTTGCCACTTTTAAATGCACGCAAGTCTAAAGAAGAACAATTACCGATTGTTATAACGTATGAAAATAAAGAGCAACTTATCGCTGTGCCAAAATTGTATAACTATCCCGGCAGCGAGCAGACTCAGGCAGTTTGGTATGCTATTATTGACTGGTATCTTGAAGATAAAGTTCTGATTCCCTGTTGTGTGGTTATTTTTGCCTGCCGCCATCACGTCCGGTATTATAAGGCGTGTTTGACTCAAAGATCGACCAAGTGACTACAAGCCCTGGCATTCCCATATTTAAAAAGTTTCGCGAGAGCTGTAAAAGTCTGGATCCCGAGAGAATAAATACAGATTTATACTAAAAAGCCATCGTGCCTGAATATTCCAGAGACTGACAAACTGATATAATTTTATCGACATGAGTTGACCAAAGAAGTTGATAGAGACGTCTAATGAGAATTAATAGGTCTTTCAATAATATTCCTCTGCGGAGATACAGAGAAAAATTTAAGATTCGACCGCCAGGCGCCATGCATCAAGCTCGATGGATAGGCGGAGCAATCTATGCATTAAAAATAGCATTACGAAGCTCCCAGCTCAAACTTAAAAAAAAGGATAAGGCAGGTTCTCTTAGATATATGCCTGTTCATCCAGGAAACATACGTGAAACTGTGGTTGCAAGGCACTTTAGCGTTAAAAGCACCTAACCAGGATTTAAGTTTTTTAAAGGTAATGAAGGTTTGCGAAAGAATTGACAAAACCATTTCAAAAACAGCTGTACAGAAGTTCTGCCAACATTTATGGTATTTGACAGATGACGTCTCTGTCCTACTTACTGTTTGACGAAGACGCAGATGAGGAAACTAAAGTAAAAATTGTTGCTAATTTAACCAAAAGAAGTCCAATCAGCCCACGTGAAACGCTACATCCCATCGAAAGAAGAACTTTCTGACCCACTTTATGGTAAGTAATTGGATGAATCAATTTTCCTTTGTCGTCTTTTACTGCTCCGATATAACATACTAACTGTTAAAATAAGCCAGCACAAACTGCGATTCTGGCAACAGATGGCACCTTATACTGTCTTGTTTCGATAGATCTGATACCTCAGGTAGAGGTTAGTGCCATGCTTTCGTTCGTTGTCCTGACGTGAGGCGAAGCCTAGACGATGCTGATGAGTTGCCAAAAAGCACAGAACATCTGTCCATGATTGTCTGTCTGTGGAAGGATGGACAAAACCAGTATGCTTAGATGGTAGCTATCCTTCATTTTTTCATTTCAGAGAAATGACCTTGTTCCAATCAAAAGCAAGTCCTGGTTCAGTCGACTAAAAATTGATGACAGTTTTCTCGACGAGTGGCCACATAATGATTCTTTTCAGCACGCTAAGAATAAGGTGCAACCGCTGAGAACAGTAGTTAACGATACGGCAGAAAGAGTAGTCAAGTATATACAGGCAGGTATATGCTGACTGCGAAAAGAAAAAATGAAAAGAAAATTTGGTAATGTTCTTTTACTGATAAATGTGTGTTTTATATGTTTGTTTGTTTTTAAATCCATACATGGTTTCCTTATTAACGTTCAAATTTGAAGTTTGACCGAAAGTGTTATCGTTCCCCGATCGCAATAATATTTTTTTTGAGTTGTTAGAGTCAAATGGAAAAAATAGAGGGTATGAGTATCTTTCAATTGGACAAAAAATTGTTTACCCTCATATGTTATGGGTCTGGGGATGGGGACGATGATCGACGGTCATCAGCCGTTACCCTAGCTTAGGATTTACGATTATCTATACCTGTAACAGTACTGTAACAGAGTATTACTACTCTACAATCGCCGTGTCTACTCCCAGGTACTGACGTCAGGGAGTCCAGTTCTATAATGGGGTTCCGTGGTTCCACAGTGTCAAAATGTCAACCTGTCGAATTGTCTGTCGAAATTGTAAACAATGAAAGAAATAACTACCAAGTTCAGATTGAAACGTTATATATTGCCTGAAAAGACAACGTCGTATGTTATGTACAAGAATCTCACGAAAAGAGAGGTCTGTTACCTTATATGTTACTTCCTAAGACTCCACGAAGTCGTAACACTTGCATTCAGATATGCTATGTCTCATTTTACACAATTTGCTGAGGTGATGTGTTGCGAAAGAAGGGGGAGCGGGGCACATATATCTATGGTAAGTAGGCGCACTGACAGGTGAAACATTTACAAGTGATGACCTAATGGATAGTGCTACAGCAACAAATCGGGTACTCTATATTTCAGCTGTCCCAGAGACCCGAAGTCTTACATAAACCTAATCTGCCTAATATGACCTGTACACTCTGGAGTCTCCTGTTGGAGGTCACCTGGTGGTGTCAACCAGCCCTCAGATGGTAAAATGCAGGTATGCAGCAGGAAGCAAGAGACGTTGAAGTGAGGCAACAGAGAATGAAGAAAACCCAAAGATAGAGAAAAAAAATCCTGTGGACAAAAGTCTAGCATAAGCTACATGCACCTCAAAGCAATTAACTAGGCACTACATGAGTCAGTCAAGCATCAGCTAAAGGCATCAAAGAACGAGGGAACAAAAGAGGGTAAGCTACCTACCTAGGGTGTAGGGTGGCCTTTTGCGTAGAGGAAAATCTCCCAATCCTAATAATCCCACAATATTAGTGGTGCGCCTAAAGCACTTGGAATCGTGAAGATTTCTCTTTTTCGGATCCTTCCCGGTACCGTATCCGCCGTTGCGTAACAGTCGCTCCGTTCGATACCGCAAAATTTGTTGCGCGTCTCGCGCCTGACATTTCCACGCCAGTTGGCATTCTATAATTTTTACCTTCGACAGTGACAGCCTACTTGACACCTGTCTACAAAATTCATTGCTACCTAGGTTATAAAATTATAAACAATGACTAGCTTTGCTTTAGGGGCACTGATTTATCAAAGGAAACAAGTAATCTGATTACAATAGTGAGTGAAGTATCTGATACTTATTTAGTTTTGTTTCAGGTTCACTAGGGCAGGTTCACCAGATGGAATCCAGAGAATACTGTTTACATTGTATACAAAATGCAGAATGCAACATACAATGTCACTAACTAAATCAATAAAGCCACTGGAAAGGATATACAGCATATTATTTCTAGCTACAATTTCTTAAACCTAGATGGAAATCATAAGAACAGAGTTGCAGGTACATAAGACATTCTCAAATTAGTGGTTTACCAAAGGAGTTCATCTATATCAGCAGATCTGCTAGATATTAGTTGTCTCTGTTTTGGCTTGAGATAACAGACACAGGTAACAGTACAAACCTTTCTTTTCTGAGAAAAGTTTCTCTTTACAACAACAAAAAAATAATATATACGATTTGCACAAAATAAGTAAAATTTCTGGCTGTATTATAGGTAATACATTTTGAACTTGTAACAGGACATCCTACACTAGATACATAAATAATCGTTTTTGAATCTTGTAATTATTTCTGTGACGTTTGCTCGGCCTTTGTGATGGACTGCTGTAAATACGTGATAGGATAGCTCCATAAGACAAAACTGTTATTTTTTTAAAAATCCTATTATCTTGGCATGTATCACCATAATGCGTAAAAATAGTTGACCAACAGCTACGGAAAGGATGAGAATCAAAACCGTGAAAACTGTATATTCGTTCTCTATTAAAAGCATAAGAGGCACTGAGTCAATTAACTTGATTCCATTTTTTGGGCATTTTGACTGGAGTAGTAGCAGGAGCAGCACATAGGAATTACTGAGGCATATAAAACTGAATTGCCAATATTCGCCGGCGTATACCGGTGATGCCGGTGCATAGCGTGCCTAGCCGTGTTTTTTCCTTTTTAATTTTTAACAATTCCGTGTTTTGAAATTTTTGGCCGGTGATCGACTGATAGCGAGCCAATTAGCGGAGTGAGAGCGCGCCAAGCTGGACGTTTTAACGCCATACATCCAAACAAGCTACGTTACGGGTACTGGAATATCCACATACTCAGAGGCGGCACACAAAAGCGATGATCCAAGTGTTTAATGATTAATTTAAAAATAAGTGCAGTGTAACAAGACTTTTAAGAGGACCATATTTAATAGGAAGCTCTCTGTTATAATAGATAGTCGAAATCATTTGTTTCGGCTTGTCGGAGTCCATCATGTGAACATGAATTTATCTCTAGTAGTAGTGGTGTGGAGGTTAGGCCTGACATCTAGGCCTACACGTTTGACCCTTTTTGTAGTAATGTAGTACCAACATTGTACTACTCCACGAGCCATCTATTGGTAACTGCTCCAGCGATAGGACGTACCTGTAGATTATGCACCACGGGCGTCACATAGACAACATAACATCCATGGCAAGGAATTAACTTCCGAGGCGGGGATTGGAACCCGCGAGCCCCGGGTTGCTAGCTCGACGCGCTGACCACCGAGCTACCGAGGATCGCTTGACTTTATTTCTGTCCTGACCTATAGGAAATATAGGATGGTTGATGTATGCCTTGTTGGTTTCTCCAATGTGTTTAAAATATAATGAACTGAAGCCTTTTTTATATTTTATACTTATACATTTTTATATTTTCACTTTTACTGGAAGTTGTAAGTTTTGTATGAGAAGTGATATCGCATAAATGGTTGCTTCTGGAGCCACGCGAGTATGAGTAGTGCTGGCCGATATTTTTGAAACTGTGATTTAGTACTGATATTTCTAAATCACTTAGCATGACTGGTACCAAACACCGTGAAAAGGCGTGACATGATTATGACTTGGGAAATTAGGCGCCAACCGCACTAGTGTTCGAATGCATGTGGAATCCGCATGCGCGCCAGTAGTTAAGATCAGAACCATGTGATTACCACATTTCCTGTAAACGATATCATCCTTCACAGGTTTTGGTAGTTCGAATCATGTGATTTTATCACTGTATCTTGCTCAGAATATATAATAAGTAATTATAGATTACTGTGAGCTCGTGACGATTCCATTCTCTGCCCAAATTACAAATCACTTTCAATAAGCACGTGTTAGATCAACTATGCTTATTAGTCAGTCACTACACAGGACACGATATTATAACACAACACTTTTACAAATATCAAACGATGTTAGAAATAATGCTGGCCTTACATCTCACTACATCTGCACTGGTTACGGTGCGATCCGTACCCTAGACGGATCAGCTGAGTTTACCCATCGTTATTCGAAAGTCGTGATCACGTCACGTTTTTAAATCACCGATACGAAAAAGGAACCGTATCATGTCACAGATATTGATAGTGATTCCAGCAAGATGTCGAATCTTCGTGGGATGTTTGTTATCACTTAGGGTGTGTTTTTGTGTTTCATTCAATAGATTAAATAGGTTTTTATTAAATCTAGTTCAGATGACGGCTTTTTAATATGTACACACAATTATTGTCATTGTTTTTATTTGTTGGTTCAATATTTTTTTATATCTTAGATAACTTTTTAACTCAACCTTTTTACTTGATGACTTAAGGTACTTTTCTTAATTTTATGAATGAATTTTTTAACCCGCAGGAAGTCATAAAATAAAAAAATTGATTGCTTAAAAATACAGCTTCTAATCCCAATCCGAAAAACTAAGTACATGGGTAAACACAAGATCCATGGCCTGAAATATAACCTTCAAGGCCAGGAATTGCTTGCAGTGGTGGGTATATCTCACTCTGCTCGGAGTTTGACCAAAATTTCATAGGACGAAAAAGCTTTTTAGTTGTCAGAAATTAGTCAAGTGGCGGCAGAGCTGAGGGCAATATTAAAAATAATCGGAAATCGCACAAAACATTTATCATTTTCAAAAAAGTTTTTGTAGGGATTAAGAATTGAGGGAGGCAAATCTTGTAGCGGCAGTAAATTCGTATCAAACCCATTAATTCTATGCGCCTATCAGTACATATTTCACACATCATAAATTTTCGGTAGAATCAGTCGTGATCGGATGCCAACCTTCATGCACCATGCCCTGTCAGCGCCTGACGGCTCATCGCTGGCGCTCTCGAGTGTCATGGCTGACGCTTATGGCATCGTTGGTTGGTGTGGTTCAGCAACGTTGCCAGATGGTCGATACTTTCGGTGGGTCAGAAAAATGGGTCTGGTGTTATCAAATGGGTGGAGCTTGATCAATCTAATATCTTTTTTATACATTTTCGTAGCTGACTTTTTCCTCAAAGGGGCTAACTAGTGACGAACATAATCATTAGTGAAGTAACTGGAGGCAGCATTGAGTAGGAAGTGCAGGGCAAACCTCCTTGACGCCATTTTTGTCCAGCGGGAATTACTTTCACGCCGTTTCTTAGTAAATAGTGAATATTATAGGAAATTGTTCAAGTTTTGGATCCTATCCAGTACTGTTCACCATTAAACTTATTGTATTGCGTCGGAAGTGCTGAGTCAACCCAATAGACTCGATTATTACCCGAATGTCTTTGAAGGAGGCTTATGTATTTGGCGGGAGGGTATGAGTGTGGACAAATATTCTATTCAACGGGCTACAATTCAAACAGCTTGATG